AAAAAAAAAACCAGAGAAAATCAAGAAAAGTAGAAAAACCTATGTAAAGCTTGAACTTACAGTGAAGTACTCCTCGGCTCACCCTCCCCTCTGCTCGGCTCGAACCCAACTGAACTAAGGCCCCGCCCACAGCCGCCATGCAGAGCGTGTACCCGACCAGGGAGCTGCCCCATCTGCTGCGGCTGCCCTCCACCGCCCGCCGCGCCCAGCTGCTCGAGGTGTGCCGCATCTCGGCCGGCGTGCGCATCTTCAACTGGGACTGCAGGGGCAGGAAGGCGGACACGGACTCGACCCATGGGCTGCTCGACCGTACGTGAGGCATGGCCGCGGACGCTCTACGGCCGCCGGCGAGCTCAGTCGCGAGTTGGGCTGCCTACCCGCAGGGCGTTTACCCGCCCGCTCGGCCTCCCTATACTCATGGGCAACACCTGTTTCCAGTGCCGGGGCTAGTGAAGGAGGCTGCGGCGGTCACCAGGAAGATGGTCACGGCCTCCGTCGAGGATATCGAGTCTAGGCTGTGGGCGGCCACGGCCGCACTGGAGGCTACCCAACTACAGACGGCCGGCGCGGGGGAGGGCGCCAGCCGCGACCCGCGCGTCGACCCGGACCTGCTCAAGGAGACCGTCATCTTTCTGCGGCAGCAGCAGGTGCTCTTCAGGCGGCTGCTGGAGGATGTGGAGGGCGCCGGGGAAGAGGCGCGCCGCCTAACGGCTCAGCTGGAGGCTGGCCTCGGCGACGTGCACGCCGTGGTGCAGTCCAAGACCGCCGTGCCCACCAACCAGGTGTACGTGAGTGTCGAACCACGGCCCCGCGCTCCTTATATACGGCGGATCCACAAGGGTGACTTGACTGACTCGCCTTGCATCTGTGGCCCGACAGCCTCAGTTCATGTCGCTGGCGTCCACGTGGGAGGCCCTGGAGGCGCAGGCCGTGGTCATCAGCCGCGCTGCCAGCATCCACCGCCGCCTGGGGGCGTACTCTAAGGTGAGGAGGGACTGCGCTGGGTCGGGTCGGAATCATCCAGAAAGCACGGCCGTCGTTCTGTATTCCGAACCTGATAAGTTCAGCCCACGCAAGCTCTCGTAGCGCCTGTTAGGTAGGCAGCATCTTGCATCCGTTGCATGCGTGTAGTGCGGGATGGCCTACCCCGAGTCTCGCGGGTGTCGAGCTCCCGGGATTCACCGAATGAATCTCTGCGAGCAAACGGGCGTACATGTAGGTTAGCTTTCTTGACAACCTCTTTGCCTTTGTTCGCTAGTAAAATAAAATAAAAGCGGGGTCCACTATGAAAAATTAGGGAAAAATCATTGAAAAAATCAAGGAAAAGTCAATAAAAATTAGGAAAAATCAAGGAAAACCAAGGAACAACATCTAAAATTGGCGTACGCTTTATAGGGTATACCCCTTGGAATCCGACCCACTGTTAAACTCAAACTTAATGCAGGATGTCCACTGTGTGGACGACACCGTGCTCCGTGGCTTCCTCGACAAGGCCCAGCGCCCGACCCCCACGGACGCAGAGAGGGTGTCCTCTGGTCTAACAGCCGGCGCCGACGCCGACCTCAGGCTACTGGAGGCCGCGCGGAAGCGACTTGACAGGGACCTGGGCCGCGGGGACGTGGTCGCTGAGGTGAGTTAGTGTTGCACACCTGGACCTCGTGGCACCTCGTGCAGTGCGAGCGGCTCTCGGTAGCAGTGCTTTCGCTTGTGCCCGCGCAGTTCGAAGGGTTCTGCCCCTGGTTCCTGGCGGTGTCCGGCGGGGGGCTGGTGCCCGGGTGCCCAGCTCTCGGGCTGTGCGAGGCTGGCCCGGGTGCCGCCGGCGGCGGCCCTCGCCTCTACGCGCTGTGCTCGCTGCAAGCGGCGCAGCTCTTCTCCTCCAACCCCAACCAGTGAGTCAGAAGACGCGCGCTTTCATCGGTGCTGTTGCCACGTATTACCGCCGGTGTGTTTTGAATAGGTGGATCCAGCGCGCCCTGGACGAGGTGCGCCGTCGGCCCGCCCTAGTGGGCCTCCTCGGCCTGGCCGACGCGCTCCGGCCCGCGCTCGACGGGGACCCGCTGGCTTCGGTGGTGACCAGCGGAGGCCTCCGCGCCAGCTCCAGGCCGGGCGTCGAACTCGGCGCCGACCTCCAGCTCGGGCACGCCGGCATGCAGACGGAGGCCCGTCTGAGACGGCGTTCAGGCGCCGTGGCCGTGCACGTCCACATGCCGATTCTCGGGCCGGCCTCGCCACCGAAGCCTCGGACGCAGACCGCGGCCACGCAGACCGCGGCCAGCTCGTACCGCAGAGAGATTCACGCGCAGACCTTCCCGGCCAAGGACGCGGCCGTGCAGTGCCCCAGGACCGTGGCCTGCACCGCGGGGCCCGCGGGGGCGGCGGTGACGGGTGCGCTCAGCACCACCCTCGACTCAATACTGATGTAAATGCCGTAAATGTTGTTCTTTTCTACTCACCTTTCATTGTGTATGTAATTATGCTTTTTTAAATGCGTAAGAACTGAAATATCTTGTTTGGTTGAAAGCGCACACTGTTAAAATGATGCAAAGCAACGCTTTGCTTTTGCCGCCACCTCGCCTTTGCTCTCTGCCATCCCGGCCCGGCCGCCCCCCGTCGCAACCGAGGGCCCGGACCTGCGCGCCCGGACCGGACCGAATAGAAACGTGACAACACGGCGGGCGGAAGGACATCGCGCAACTTTTACCATCACGTGCGGGAAGGCGACCGACACCGCCAAGGAGCGGGGACGACGAGCTCTTGCAGGACGAGAGGTTTCTCAGAGCACCCCCTTACCCAACCCCCACCGGCTGGGCTGATGGTCTGAGAACAGAGACCGACAGACCGACAGTGTGTGTATGTGTTTGAGAGAGTGAGTGAGAGAGAGAGATATTGTGGATTGGGTGGGTGGGG